GCATGAGGAGCAGACGACTGCGGCCATTTCATAGGCTGGGCCCCGCACTGTAAGAGTAAAGCAAGCAAGCTGGGCAGGAAGCAGTTAAACAAGAAAGTATTTTATTCTTTCTTTGGTCTCGACAATGGATGGGATGTCATTAACTGCTTGAGTTCCTGCCTTGACTTCCCCAAAATGCTATAACTTGCAATTGCAAACTGAAAACAGAAAAAAGTCTTTTCTTCTCTAAAGAAGAAGGAACTTGCATTTTCTGCAGTTTCAATCTATTTGCTATTTTGTGTTTCTTGGTGAAAACAGGGCTTCATGTATTCTAGACATTCATGTAATCTTTGTCTCTTTTTAATGGAAAAGTGAGATGCACATGTACTGGAAGGTCACGGTGATGGTTTTAATGAGAATGACCTCATAGGCTCATATATTTGAATGCTTGGACCTCAGTTGGTGGAACAGTTTGAGAAGAATTAGGAGGTATATCAATGGGGGTGGACTTTGAAATTTCGAAACCTTTGGCATTCCTAGTGAGCTTTCTCTCTTCTTCTTGCCTGAGGGATTTTTCTGGTACTAAAAAGCATCAACCAATCAAAGCTTGTGAAAATGTGATACCAGGAGAGGGGCAGGTTCCATCTCAAGCAAGCAGATGAACTTGTCAGCACTGTCCTTGTGATTGTCATTAGAGTCATGAAGAATAATATAGGAGTAAAAGAGGATGTGGAATCTTCCTCTGTTGTTAAGGAAGGAATGCTGCTGAGGCCACACATGTGGCAGGGCTGCCCGCTGACTTGAGGACAAGAGAGCCCATTGAGTGAACCTATGAAGGTGAAGCCTGGATTGCCTTGGAGAACCCAAGATGTTGGAGATGCCTGAGCTGTGGGATACTTCCCAGGGAGAGCTGCAGACAGTGAAACCAGTCCAAGAGAAAGAAGTGTGCTGCAGTCAGCAAAACTAGAAGAGCAGGGCCGTCTAGGCCTTTTGAGATCAGATATGGAGCTGTAGGATTTGTAGTTAACCCTGTTGGGTTTCAATCTTACTTTGGTCCTGCATTTCCCCACTATGCCCCTATTTCTACTTTTTGAAATAGTAATGTATATTCTGTGCCATTATTATTGGAAGTATGCAATTTGCTTTTTTGGTTATGTAGGGGGTTATAATTAAGAGATTGCCTCGAATCTCAGAAGAGACTTTGGACTTTGAAACTGTATTGAGACTGTAGGGGACTAGGCAAACTTTTGAAGTTGCACTAAATGTTCTGTAGATTGTGGTATGGCTACAAATCCATGGGAGTCGGGGGCAGAATGTGGTGGATTAAGTGAAAATGGCCTCATAAGCACCTATGTTTCAACTGTTGGTCCCCAGTTGGTGGGACTGTTTGGGAAGAACTAGAAGGGTAGCTTTGTTGGAGAAGGTATGTCACTGGGGGTGGATTTTGAGGTTTCAAAGCCCATTCTATTTTAACACACACTCTCTTTGCCTCCTACTTTTGTATACAGATGTAAACTCTAAGCAATTGTGCTAATGCCATGCCTGCCTGCCTGCTACCTGCAATGATGGTCATGCACTCAACCTCTGAAACTGTAATCCCCAACAAGCTAAGACTGTTACTGTACTTCCTTAAAGAGTTACACTAGCAGTTTGATGATGAGTGCATCATTTTCCCTTAAGCAAGAAGGCAATAGTATTCTAAGTATCTTTAGCTTTAATACTATGACATAGTAAATGTTTTTTCTTAAACTTCAGACTATGCTGATCTTCATTTATGAAGTTAACAATATTGATTTCTCACTACCAAATAAAAGACTAAATTATTTAGCTTTCTGTTACATTTGAATTGGTGACTGTATTCTGACTTTCATGCCCTATAAAATTTAAGATGTGTATTCATTAGTATTTTCTTTGTTCTACAATAAGAGGCCAAGGTTGTAGTGACCTTGCTCACTAATATCAGAAAACTAGACTTACAATGCAGGAGGACTTGGTGTTTCCCCCCCCCCCGAAAACAGGCACGAAGCTGCTGCTGTCAGACACTGTTTATAGCTTTAGACTATAAAGAGACAGTTTTTATTTATGAATATACAAAAGATAATTCTATTCTTCTAAATGAAGACAGAGGAAGAGTGGATGGAGGTAGAAGGGATGTAGGGGAGGGAACAAGAGGAGAGGAGGTAGGGGAAACTGAGGTTAGTATGCAAAACAATAAATACAAAAAGATAATTCTGTCAAAATCTTTTTAAATTATTTTTTTAAAAAAAACTATTTTTTTTTCTCATTTTACATACCAATCCCAGTTCCCACTCCCTCCCCTCCTCCTGTTCCCTCCACCTTCCCTCCACACCCCATCCACTCCTCAGAGAGGGTAAGGTTTCCCATGGGAAGTCAACAAAGGCTAGGGCATTGTTTTGAGGCAGGGTCAAGGCCATCCCCACTATATCTAGGCTGAGCAAGGTATCCCTCCAAAGAGAATGGGGTCCAAAAAGCCAGTACAAGCAGTAGGGATCAATCCTGGTCCCACTTTCAGTGACCCCACAGTCTGCCCCAGCCATATAACTATCACCCACATTCCGAGGGCCTAGTTTGGTCCTATGCTGGTTCCCCGGCTGTCAGGCTGGAATTGGTGAGCTCCCATTAGCTTAAGTAAGCTGTTTCAGTGGGTGTCCTCATCATGGTCTTGACCCCTTTGCTCATATCATTGCTCCTCCCTCTCTTCAACTGGACTTTGGGAGCTCAGCCCAGTGCTCCACTGTGGTTCTCTGTCTCTGTCTCCATCACTTGCTGCATGACGGTTCTATAATGACATTTAAAATACTCATCAGTCTGACTACAGGGCAAGGCCAGATCAGGTACCCTTTCCACAACTGCTTAGGGTCTTAGCTGGGGTCATCCTTGTGGATTTCTGGGAGTTTCTCTAGTGACAGGTTTCTCGGTGGCCCCATAATGGCTTCCTCAATCATTTCCTTGTTCTCCCTCTGTTTTTTACCACACAAGAATGGCATTATTTAACTAAAGAGAAAATACAATTAATGTCTGTCAATGCTTACACTGTAATCTATTTCTTTTTTATTTATTTTGGGGTGACAGAGAAAAGAAGTCCTAAAGGAGGTGGGACTGTTGGATAAGAAGGGGTCATAGAATGTATGTAACATGAAAGCAAAAGGGGGCTCTTATTTGAGGGAAGGAAAGTGAAAAGGTAGACGAGGATATGGGGAAGGATCAGAAAGGCAATATAAACTACGTACAATTGTGTGTGTGTGTGTGTGTGTGTGTGTGTGTGTGTGTGTACAAACTGTGACAGACAAATCCCATTCTTTGTGTGCTAATCCAAAGAAACACAAAGAAAAATCAAGGGTGATAGTCTAGTGCTGTGTGAGAAGTATTTTAAAACTTGGAGTGTTTATCATGTTTAATTAATAAATGTGACTTTTGCACTGTTATACACAATACACTATGAGTTTTACAGGAATGGGTATGCTTAGGATTTGATATGCGGTAGTGATTTGACTTTGTTTACTGACAGGGGAATACACAAACATTTTTTTTCAATAATTTTCAAAAATATTTTATTTTGAATTACGTGTTCGTGTGTGATGGTACACGAAGGTGCAGTTGGCTGTGGATGCCATAAGAGCGCATAGGATCTCTTAGAGCTGGAGTTGCAGGCAAGTGTGGGCCAACCACCGTGGACGCTGGGACGTGAACGTGGGCCCTCTGCAAGAGCAGTACACGCCTTTAACTACTGTGCCGTCTCTCCAGCTTCCAGTCAAGCATAAAATAAATCTATAATTATAGCCCGTCTTCCTTAGTTTAAAATGAACACAAGCCACCTATACACATTAATATGTACTTAGGTAAAGTGCTAAGTGTTTCTGATTTAAGTAACACAAAAGATACTAAAATACTCTCTTCAATGAGATCCTTACCTGTTCATAAGCTTCCTGTTTCATCTTACCCTTTCTTATTTAAAAGAAAAGTGGTACACTCATCCAGCAGGAGTCAGAAACTAGCTTTTCTACTCATTCTAACTAGACAGGGTCCTCTTTTTCTTTCAAAGCTACACATTTTTTTGTGACTGTATTATTGTTTACTCAACAAACCTCTCTTTCAGGGGTGTTTTGGTGATTTAAATATTTTGCATTACAGAATTTACTTGCGGATGAATAATGTAACAGTTAAAAACTACTAAGATTTATTCTATTTAATAATCTGGATTAGAGATTGATGTGGTGGTGCACTCAGGGGGTTGAAGCAGGAGGATTGATCTGTGTGTGTTCGGGTGAGTATTGTGTACGTTCTAAGACATCTCTGTAAAAAAAAAAAAGACATCCCAAACACACATTCACACACAAACACACACAGAGAAAGAGAGAGGGAGGGAGAGAGACAGAGACAGAGAGAGACAGAAAAAAAAGTAAAAGCTACTTAATTTTAATACTCCACAAGAAAAATTTAAAAAGACTTGAAGTTCTGGGTTGATGGCATATGCCATTTATCCCAGGAGTAGGAAGAGAGAGGCAGGCAGATCTCTGTAATTCAAGGCCAGCTTGGTATACATAGAATTTACAGGGCAGTCAAGGCTATATAGCAAGACCCTGTCTCAAAAAAAAAAAAGGTTTAAAAGATACCAATGCAGAAGCATTACTGCATTGCTTATTTTACAGATCAATTGTAGAACAAAATATTGAGAGTTGGCATTAGTAAGAAAGAACAATGGTGTCAGACCCCGCTAACTAACCCAGGCTGACAGAAGATGACGCAAAAAATAAAGTCTATAGATATGCAGGTTTAAGTCAGGTGAGTATACTGATAATGACCGTTGGCCTTGAAAATGTGTTTTCTGGAAATGCTGAGGTAGAAACTGTTTAGTCTGTCCTAACAGAATGATGATGGTGTTCATCATTCCAGAAACTACTTCTGCTATTACTTAGCTCCTCCGTGTATGTGAACAAGTGCTAAAAAGTGCCTTTCATGTCTGTTAACGGAACTTTCATCTGTAAATAAAAAAATGCAAATAAGAAACAAGGGATGAATTTATTTTAAGTAAATTTACCATTAATTATCAATGGGTACAATTTCAAACACTTATAAATCTTGCATTTTGTAAAAAAATTAATGTTATCTTAAAATTATTGAACAGAGTTTTGCACAGTTATTTACAATCAGCTCAACCTGCCTTTGTAGAAATAAGCCAGGTCTAAAAGTATCTCTGCCATAAGAATTTCACAGTACCTTTCGAGACTGGTGCCACTGAAGTGGCAGCCATATCATCAAAACCGAGAAGATTCAATAATTAGCAACAGCAGAATCAGAACAGTAAATATAATCTAGCATCAACTTCAAATAAACCTTTTTCTATTAATATATCAATATTTTCCATTCCAAACTGATAAAATAAAATAATTAGGCAGCATTATTTTCTTACTACATTATTCCTTTACTACAAACCACATATGTTTTTAAAACCTGATGTTAGGAAATTAAATTAGCGAGTTATAAGAAATAATTCAAAATATTTGCAAGGTTCCTGATTTCACTGCGAGGCATTTGCAATGACAATTTTTGTCAGTTATGGCATTAAAGAGAGATGGCTCTCTATCATACCAGAAAACAAGAACATCTTGCTAACAGGTAATAACATTTGAAGGAGATTATTGGCTTTATTCACACATTCATTCTATTTAGTTTTGTAAATTTATGACAATTCCTCAATAGGTTCTCAAATATGGAAGACATCAATTCAAAGGCAAAATTTTATTTGGACTAGCACTCATATTTGAGAACAGTATTCAGCGTTACACGCCACAGTGGCTTTTCCTGCCAGCTGAAATAACTAAATGGTACAGTATAAGAAATATAGTTGAAATCACAATATAGTACATTTTATTTTATTGAAATTGAATATATACTTAATTTCAAATGTATTTTATAAGAAAAATTTTCTCCTGGTAAATAATATTCATAACCATCGCCCCAAATTGTATACAGCTTGTCCCTCTCCCAAATTTATATACATAGTAGTCCACTTAAGAGCAGCCCTGTTATAACTTACTGCATATAATGTGCTCTTAATTTAGAAATGGGCTACCCTCAGTATATAAAATATATAGGCATGTATGTTATACGTACAGATAAAAAATACAAAAAGGAGAGATGAAAATAAAAATAACCAGAAAAAGAAAGTGTTCTATTCTGTAAGATTCAGACAGATATCCATGATGATTAGTGAGACAGTGTAAAACACCCCAAAATTTTTAATTTTGGCAAACACTGTTCAGAAAATGTTCAAGTTATCAGAACAGTAAATCTTTATCTACTAATTCCTTAGACATTTCCATTGAAATATTCAGTGATGCTGTGGTCTTCTAATATGTAGAAAAGAAGACATTTGATCTGTTAGAAACAAACAAGCAAAAAGCCACTCATTGTGAAGAAGTTAATAGCAACCCCTTCCTCAGACGTCTGCTGTGAAGAGAATCAAATCCTGGTTCACTAGCATCTGAATATACTGGATGACAGATTCCAATGGACAGGATATGAACTCATCCTAGACCTTAGAGGGAATATCACAGGATTACAATGGAGGGGTCAGCTCCAAAGGTAACTGGCCCAACCTTAACTGTCTGTCAACATTAAACAACAACACTAAATGTTTCTGGAGCATCCTTTCCGCTGCATTTTCTTTATTTCAAGCCATTAGTCTACTTGGAGGATCATGCAGCAGGTGGTTTATGAAAAAAATCAGAGGCTATGAATAACGTCATTGCATTATGAGACAGAAATGTCAGATTTTCTCATTATATAAAAAGCTTGCATCCTGGGAATCCATGAGGTGGTATTATTTATGGGATACCTAAAGGGGGACAAAAACCATAATAGTCAATAAGGCATACATGCATTTCAGGAGTTAATAAATGCTATTCAATTATGTGATCTACTAATTCCATACTTTCTATATAACAAATCCTTTATTTCTATATGATGCTTAATAGTTATGGAGCAACAAAAGTAACTGGGCCAGCTCCTTAGTAAATATTACGACTATTGGTAACTAATCTCAGTAGATGTCACCAAAAAGAAGGCCTATACATGGTGACTATGTACATTTCAGAAGTCAACTACTTTTGATATTTAATGTATAATTTAGCTTAAAGACACACTACAAGCTTTAGCTTCCATAGAGCTTAGGACTTTTCATGCTATCATAGTACCAAAAGAGAAACAAAACACAACAAACTCAGTGAAGGGTTTCAGCTCTGATTCTCTTCCTTATCTTTTCTAAGTCATCATCATATAGCAAAAACACTCAGGATAATAAAACATTTTTGAAAACAGTACTGATCTTTTCAAAGTTAAATTAAAGTTCTCAGGGCAATGTTTTGAGTATTCTGGCAAACATACCTCAGAAGCAAAAAGAGAAGAAATATCTGCTACTTCTGTTACATGGTTTTGTAGACAGAGCCTTTAGCATATTAGCATTAATACCAAAAACAAGGTATTGTTAGTACAGAAGTAGGTGATTTGAAAAAATTTATCCTGAGTATCCTTGAATATGAGGAATACAAAAAAGCTTATACAATCTAACTTTAAATTCTCATGCAAATAACTCAGTTTCTCATTACTTAAAATATAATCCAATGTCGTGGTGATAAAAACTTCTGATTCATGCTTCTATATGGCATTAAACTAATGGTGCCAACTTAAAGATATGCTGGTCATCTTTCCATAGGCACGTGTTCCTTCACATGAATGAAGCTTAAATTTTATATCTTAAACCAAGGTCAGGCATCACCATATCAAATACAAGAATTAATCTAGCTTTTCCTCTAAATATAAAAATTGAAACATAGAAGCATGTTTCAAAATAAGTAATTTCCATGTAAAATATATGCCTGAAGAAAAATTAAAGAATGGCCACAAGTAGCTTCCAAATGTCAATTATGTTTAAACTGGTGGTACTATACATTTCATAACATTCCTGAACCATTACTTTTATATGAATGTTCAGTAGAAGCTAATGTGCAAAGAATACTTCCATTTTATTTCAACCCTAACTTATCTAACTATTAATTTAAAAGACTTCACAAAATGTATTCTTTTAACTAAAGTAAAAGTAATTGAATATCTTTCCCAGTTTTAGAGTTTTCCAGAACTCAGCTAACACGCTCTGACCAAAATTCTTGGACGAATGGATTGACTAAGACATACGGCAAAGATTTTCAGAAGTCTCGAAAAGTTATGCACATTTTAAAACCAAGATGGTTAATGCCAACATTACAAGTTAACTTTCACCAGTCATTCTGAAATTCCTTTCAGTTAAAAATTAACATTTTGCTTTTGCTTATTGCTACAGCTGACAGCAGCATGTAGACCTTCAAAGAAAGCATCTGATAAAAGTGTTTCAGCAAAGTCACAGGCCATAGTTCTAACTGTCCGCAAAGATGAATTGATATAACTAATTATGCCTCTGATTGATGTCTGGGTATTTTTTAACATAGGAAGAAAGAAATACACTAAAGGCTTTCTGCTGAGTTACAAGCAAACACATTAAAGCTAGCTAATAAAAGTTGTCTAATTGAAAGGGTAACTAACCTGAGATGTACCTTGCTCCGATTAACATTACCATGCTACTCACTATAAAAAAGCCCAAAGGCAGACTACAGAAGATACTAGGGTCACCTGTGGTCATCCAAGTAGAAGGGGATTCCAGTCAAGCAAACCAAAAGAGAGACACATAATTACAATATTTATGTTAAGAATCACATGAGAGCAAAAACAAGTTATAAAAATAGCATATTCATAAAAGCTGGCAAAGAGTTACTACTTCAAATCAAAAATATAATCAATATCGAGGCTTATGAAAGTTAATGAACAATACAGATAGCATGCCACAAGTAGCCAAGAATGTAACACATATAGCCAACATCAGCTTTCCACTGGCAAAGCCAAAGAGAGCTTTTTGGGAGGCTGTTGGTTTGTGCTTTCTAGATTCTTCTCCCAATTACAGTAACTGAGCAGTACAATTTACCCAAGTGTATTAGAAAGGTTTCATTAGCCTACTTTAGATGAGTTCAAAATTCTTTTTATAACTAAGTTGGACTGAATTCGTCATTTGACAATCCCATGGATACATATGTGAAGTACATTTTGATCACTATAAGCCTTCCCCCTCTCTAATCTCCATCCTGCCCTTAGTAGCACTCCCGCACTTCTGTAAGTACCTTTCCCACACCCAGGTCTTCTATGTTTCAAACACTGATTTGGTCTCGTGTCAAATAGATTTTGGTGTATAATGAAGTAAATCGGGAGCACTGCTGATGCTAAATGGTCTAATGCAACTAAATTATATTATGGAGAATAGGATTGTTTCTGTGAGCCAAGTTCTCCTTAAATTTAAAAATTTTTGTGCCCAGGAGTTGGCAAAATGGTTCAGTGGGGAGGGGGAAGTGCTCTCTGTGCAAACCTGGCAACCACACCTGGATTCCCAGTACCCCTCTGCAGGTGAAAGGAAATAAATATCAACCCCACAAAGGGGTCCTCTGACCTATACACATACACGTGTGTGCACACGCACACTCCTCGACACACAAGGAATCTAAACTATTTAGCACATTTTGGCTTGTTAAAGACTAAACCTAGGGCTTTTAAGCTCCGCTTCAGACCCCAGAATATAAGGAAATGCCCAGAGTTATGAAAGTACACCTATACTACAGGGTGTCTTTCCAATATGCCAGCTAGGGATTCCCCCAAGCACAGTGTATGTGATGTAGTCTTAAGATTGTTGTTTCTATTTTGGAAGAGGGCTTTCTTCCTCTCATCACGTATTTCTTTTCCCTTAGCAGCTGCACTTTCAGTAGGGGTCAATAAGCTTTTTGGCTTATTCTGTCACTGTTTGTTAGGTTTTCAAATGCCAAGCAAATATTTTTATTTCCATATTTGTAGAGACCATATTTTAGTTTGATTTTAGAAAAGAAAATGTCTGGTTCTCTTAAAGAAAGCCATCAGCTGTAACTTACAATAACTGATTTTTCTGATGTCCCTAAAGTGAGTTCTGGTATGAAAAGGTCTCAGGACTGTGGCAAGGGATATAGGATACTTGCCCAGCATGCACAAAGCTCAAAATGTTCAATTTCCAACACCACAAAAATGAGGTGGTAGAATTGGAGGCATACTTTCCAGAAGTTCATGGGCATCCATGAACTACATGAACTACACAGTGAATCTGAGACTAACTTGTACTACTTGAGACACTGTTTCAAAAAGAAGAACAAAAGAAAATATAACAACAAATAGATCTGGGGAGCTACTCTCAACTTCGGTGGTACCCATTTGATGAAGATATTTCTTCTCCAGTGGGATAACCACACATATATGTTATGTAAGTATTCATATTTATATATAATAAATTCATATTTTATGTACTTATACCTGTACAATATATTCAAACCAATTTGAACTATTTCCAAAGTGTTCCATGTGTTGTAAGTTCAAAGCAAAGTCATTATAACAGACTTGCTCTAAAACTACCAAAATCTTGAGCTGGGCATGGTGGCTCACACCTATAATCCCACCCATTTGGAAGCTGAGGCAGGAGGATCATAAGTCTAAGTCCACTCTGGGCTACACAGTAAGGAAGCAGGTGTGGTGGCACATGTCTTTAATCCCAACACTCGGAGACAGAGGCAGGCAGATCTTTGTGAGTTTGAGGTCACGCTGGTCTATGTTTCATTATTATTATTTAAAATTTTAAAAATAAAGTCTGGCAGTGGTGTCACAAACCTTTAATCCCAGCACATGAGAAGCAGAGGCAGAGACAGGCAGATCTATGTGAGTTAAAGGCTAGCCTGGTCTACAGAGCAAGTTACAGGACAGGCTTCAAGCTAAAGAGAAACCTTGCCTTGAAAATTTTTAAAAAAACTTAAAAATTATGTCCTAAGGTTATCTATAATATTAGTATATTGATATAAATGATTATGCTCTTAATATTATTGTTATACAATAATCATATTTAATATATTTTAATTGTTTATAATTCATTCAAACAGGTTTATAAACAAAAAAATTTGGTTGCTTCAGCAATGATAACCTCTTTTGTAAATTATTGATATAATATTTTTCCTATAAGTTAAATTAAGGACAGTTTTATTAGGTTAGGGTTCTATCTGTACTGCTACTATCATATAGTTTATACAGAATACAAGCTGCTATTATATAATTTATATTGTTTAAAGGAATACATTTAGTAAAACATTAAATATTATTCTGAGATAATTGTACAGCTTAGAGATACTCCCAGACACCGCACATTTCAATGTTTTCATAAAACTACTAAAATATTTTTAATCATTGGTATAATTGCAACAAAAATAAAATTAAGAGCTGGGTCTGGTGGTGCAGACCTTAATCTTGGAGTACGGGTCAGGACAATCAGTAATTTGAAGGACTGGATGGCCCTACTGCATGAGTTCAAGGGCATCCTGAATGAAATCCTGAGATGAAGTCCTCTCTCAAGATATAAAGTAAAAATATGGCTAGACAGAATGAAATCCATTACTCTGTAAGTTATTGTTTTGAAAGAACGAATATAAAATATATAAAAAGAAAAAAAGGAGAGCTGAGATACAGCACTTGCCAATGTGTGTGCCCTGGGTTCAATCTTTAATATTGAAAAATAATTGAAACTCGACAAATGAAATACCCTTACTATTGATGCTGGCAGCACAAAATAAAGAGATGTAAAAATGTAAAGCTGGGCATAATGGCATATATCTGTAATCCCAGCAGACATGGAGGCAACAAGATCCCAGGTTCAAGCTTCTACACAGTAAGCTCCGAGCCAGCTTGGGCTATATGAGACTACATACAAAGAAGGAAAGAAAAATTAAACTAAAAATATTTCTTAAAAAATTCAAATTTTGTTTTCTTTTTCATCTTTTCAAGTATTGAAATTGACAATAAGGAACATAAATGAAAAATGATCAATTACTTTAGTGGAAATATTGAAATTAATATTATACCTTTAACAGGTAGTAAGGAAAAATGTGCATACAAGCTGTAGAGAAAGAAGGAGGAAGGCGGGATGGTTGTATCATTAACAAAAATTCAACTAGTCCAAGAAATCACACACCCAACTTTGCATAGCATTGATTTAGGGGACTAAGCAAAGTAATCAGAGTCCACATTTGTTCTGGCTGACATTGCAACCAGGAGTGTGCTAAAGAGTAGTGTTTCTGACAGAGAAATGTAATTGCCAAGGGTCTCAAAACTGCAGTCTTAGCAAAAATGAGTTAATCCGTCATCTTAGAAAGACAAGGCGAGCGTGGGCCTGTGGTATGCATGAGACTTAACAAACAAATATTTAACAAAAGTAGAAAGAAAAAAAAAAGAGGCCCAGTCTCAAAACCAAAAGCATATTAAATTTGATTAAGAGGAGAAGGGAACAATTTTAATAAGGAACATCCAGGGCTTAAAACATACAGATCACAGTGAATTAGAAGTGTCTCCTAAAAGCCACAAGCGTTAAAACTGGTTCTATACTCACTGTTAGCTGGGAAGCCAAAGAATACTTAATTTATAAACTCTTCCCTAATAAAGTATGCTATTCATTTTACTCCATATCTTGAGTAGATAAGGACTATAATCCTGAGTCAAAGACAGCCTAGAGCTACTTAAGCCATTTACTAAACCTGAATTCTTTCTTGCCTAAGTGATTTGAAAAATAAAAATGTTCTTTATTTTGTGCAAATAGCATCTCAATTACAAAACTTCCAACTTGCTATATTTAGGTTACTTCCTCTTCTCTGAGTTCATAGGAATTCACACTTCAAAATGGTTTACTCAATCTGAATACTTTCGTTAAGTGTCTAGAACTGAATATACTTCTCTATTACTTCAGGTGGTAACGAAAGCCTCCCAAAAAGGTACATGTGATCAGGGCGAGGGAAAATAAAGAGTCTAGTTGATTTTTTTTTTCATTAAGGAAGGAACCAGAAGTAACAATTTTGCTTTTGGAAAATTCAGTTATTCATTGACATGCCAGGCATAAATCAACAGTCTCCAGTGAAGGTGTGCATAGTAATCTGTAGTTTCCATCCTAGTTTCAAATGTCAGAACCATTAGATATAGGATAACCCTTTTCTTCAGCATGGCCTGGCTTAGTACAAGCACCCAGATACTTAAATAAATTAACGCATTCAGAAAAAATATCAATAATAAAATAAAAACTGTCAATAACAGCCAATAAAGACATTTTACCACTTTCTGGAGACTGAGTTGTAACCCAACCAATTGATTTCATCACAGCCTTCTTCCAGGTGGAGTAACGGATTTCACTTTCTAGAATTAAAAGAAGGGGAAACATGCATGAGATGTAGTTTGTGGAGGCGGTCAAAGTTGAACACTTAAGGTTGGTTACTCAGCCGTCCTAATAGCTCACGTTCAACCACAGTGAGTCTTTGCTGGATGGCAGACTTGGTAATGCACGCCTGGTGGTGACTGGCAGTGAGCGCATGAGATGCTTAGAGGCCTGAGGAAGGATGCATGATGGCAATTTAGCAGGAGGCTAAGGGAGATTGGGAGACAGGCTACCTGCTATGAAGGCAAACTAGTCACAAGAAAGTCGGGGTGATCTGAAAAGGAATATCCTATGGATTTATTTTCTTTGGGGGGGGGTTGACATGGAGAGAGAGGTAAAGTACGACGTGGACAAATCAGATTTGATTTTGGTCCAGTTGAAGGAATTGGCAAATACTGATTGCTCGCAAGATTCAAATCATAACTACACCATACCTAGCATCTTAAGGTAGAATTTTTAAGGTGAAAATATAAAAAGTCCACAAAAATGAACAATGATGCAACTCTCCTGCATAGGACTAGTTAGTGGAGTATATTTCCCTTCTCATGTTGTTTAGTTTTTTTCCCCTTTTCCCCGAGACCTTGTTGTCCCTGCTGGCCTACGATCTGCCTGCCTCCGCCTCCTGAGCGCTGGGATTATAGGTAAGTGTCACCCCATCTGGCTTTCCCTTCTCACGTAAAAGAACAAGCATCCTAACAATCTAAAAGCTGTCACTGGCAGCTTGTCAGGGTAGTTTTTTTTTTGCTTGTTTGTTTTGTAATTGAAGTAGCAGTATTATTTTCCTAAATAATATAGATAGGACCCATTTTCCCTCATTCATTCTGGCTCAGGGAAACCCAATATGCTTAGCAGCTGACAAATCAAAGGGTAAAAATTTCCCCACGTGAAGAGTATTTTCAATGTATTCCATTAAAAGATTTATTCTATATTTGTATTCTACATGCCAATATCCAATTAAACCAGGACTGTTTTTGAAGATGTTTTCTTTTTCCATTGTATATTTATGGCCTCTTTGTCAATAGGTGTGTGGATTTATGTCTTTGATTCCATTCCATTGATTAACCTGTCTGTTTTGATGCTAAGACCATGCAGATTTTATTACTATAGCTCTGTAGTAGAGCTTGAAATCAGGGATGGTGGATACCTCTAGAAGTTCTTCTATTGTACAGGACTGTTTTAACTATCCTTTTTTGGTTTTCGATATGAACTTGAGTATTGTTCTTCCAAGGTCTGTAAAGAATTGTGTTGGAATTTGGTGGGGATTGCTTTTAGTCTGCATAGACTGCTTCGGGTAAGATGGTCATTTTTACTGTGTTAATTCTACCAATTCATGAGCATGAAAGATCTCTCCATCTTCTAAAATCTTCTCCAATTTCTTTCTTCAAAGACTTGAAGTTCTTTCATACAGATCTTTCATTTACTTGGTTGGAGTTACCTCAAGATATTTTCTATTACTTGTGGCTATTGTGATGGGTGTTGTTTCCCTGATTTTGCCATTTTGCCAGTTTGCCATTTTGCCATTTGCCATTTTGTAAAAAGAATGGCTACTGATTTTTTGAGTAAAGGTGTTTGTCAGCTGTAGGAGCTCCCTGTAGAAATTTGGGGGTTGCCTTTATATGGTATTATATCATCCCCTAATAGTAATACTTTGCCTTCTTCCTTTCCAATTTGTATCCACTTGATCTCCTTTGGTTGTCTTACGGCACTAGCTAGAACTACAAGTACTATATTGAATAGATATGTAGAGAGTGAACAGTCTTGTCTCATTCCTGATTTTAGTGGAATTACTTTGAGTTTCTCTCCATTTAATTTGATGTTGGTTGTGGGCTTGCTGAAAATTGCCTTTATTATATTTAGGTATGTCCCTTATATCCCTGACCTCTCCAAGACTTTTATCATGAAGGGATGTTGGATTTTGTCGAAGGCTTTTTTTAGCATCTAATGAAATGATCATTTTTTTCTTTCAGATTGTTTATATGATGAATTACACTGACAAATTTTCTAATGTTGAACCATCCATGCATCTCTGGGATGAAGCCTACATGATCATGCTTGATGATCTTTTTGACGTGTTTTTGCATCACTGTTCATTAGGAAAACTAGTCTGTAAATCTCTTTCTTTGCTGAACCTGTGTGGGGTTTGGGTATCAGGATGACTGTGGTCTTATAAAATGAATTTGGCAATGTTCCTTCTGTTTCTATGTCGTGGAATAATTTGAGGAGTATTGATATTAGCTCTTCTTGGGAAATCTTGGAGAAGAGGGAATCCTACAATCCTTCCTTGGATTGTAGGAATCAGAGAGGTCAAGATACCAGAGGAACATAGCCCACAAAATCAACTAAAAAGGGCTCACAGGGGCTCATAGAGAATCTACCAACAATCAGGAACCCTGCATTGGTCCGACCTACATTCTCTGCATGTTATAGTGTGCAGCTTGATGTTCTTGTGGGACTCTTAATAGTGGGATTGGGGACTGTCTCTGACTCTTTTGCCTGCTCTTGGGACCCTCTTCCTCCTACTGGGTTGCCTCATCCAACCTTACTATGAAGGGATGTGCCTAGTTTTATTAGAACTTGACATGCCATGCTTGGTTGATATCCTCGGGAGGCCTGCCCTTTCTGAAGGGAAAGGAGGAAGAATGGATCTGGGAGAGAGAGGAAATGGGTGGGGGAACTAGGAGAATTAATTTTTAAAAAATTTTCTTCTTTAACTATACCTTCAGCATTGATCTGAGGTTCAAACCGCTCCATTGTTACAGCTGACAAATCCTCAGGTTCGAGACTCCAAACACCAACACCCTCTGCAGCTCCAGCTGCCATGGCAGCTCCTAAAGCAGTTGTTTCGGGCATGGATGGTTTCACTGAGAGGAGAAAGCTATGTCAAGAATTTTGTAGTTATATATGCCCGAAGGATCAGTTCTTCCCAACATTATTACTTTTGGGGTTTAAAGGAGTGAAGGATTACTAACCTACTGGAATATACAGAATGTCTGCTTGTAGCTGCATAAGAATTTTATTGCTGGTCATTCCTCCATCTACCTGCAAATGACTGAGTGGAATTCCACAGTCGCGGTTCATGGCATCCAAAATCTTAAATAAACCAATGTAATTCGCATGATGAGACTTCACAGTAACATGTCTAAAAACGGCAACCCTTCACCCACAAACCTGGAGTATTTCTCCAAGCCAGCAAGAATGAAATTGAGACACTGTATTCTGTTCTTCCAAATGCTCCTCGATCTGGTTGCAACCAATCTTTTCTGGCTTCATGCTTCCTTACTCACCCTCCTATTCAGTGAGCTAAGCCTTCGATTTGGTATCTTCGTTTCCTTGCTCATGTCTACATTTGTGTTCTTTCCTTTGCTTAACATGTGCTGCTTACTCTACTACCTAGTCTTCTCTCCAACATGAGCTGCCCAGTGGGTGGTGATAAGGGTATTTACAAGATAATGAGACTTGGCAGAGGAAAGAGGGCACACTTGTATTTAAAGTACTGTTTATGTAGGTTTCCGTTTTCAATTGGGAACACTTTAAGTACTTAATAAATTCAAGGCATAAATATATAATGAATATTTAATTTAAGGGTGATAAAAAGGATCAAGCATAAGAAAAACAGGCATATATTCATTACCTCTCGGGTTTGGAAACAAACAGCTTCTAATGCAGCAAAAGCAATATGACATTTATTGGTGAACTGAGTGAGTCCACAGATGATCCTAAAATACACACAAAAGAATTTCAGACTAGAATGATATAAATAAATCAATGATTCTTTTTCTCTTCCCCAGTCTCTGCCTCTTAAAGTCCTTCTGTCCTCTCTCTTTCCGTGGCCCCTCCCTCTTTGGGGAGGGGGTGTAGCTGTCCCATTTGTAACTGAGCACTTTACTGATGCTTCTTTTCTGTATTAACTACCTCTTCCCTGATGAGGACTGAGAGATGCACTAATCTATTGGTAAAGAGACAACGACTTAAAGGAATGCTCTGTCACTTGATTGATCTGATGCCCCAACAATGTAAAGAGTGAACTCAATAGACAGAAATGTAGGCAGGAAGGAAAATTGAATATATTCACTGAGTAGTTCAGAATGTCCTTATAGTCAGAAACCCTATATCCACAGGTGGCAATAGCTGTGATCTAACAGAACAGATGATATTAACATAAAATCAAATCACATTCATTTAGATGATAGTGTGTTCGTCTACAATGTATAGGTAAAAGTAGATAATAATTAGTTACTAATTTAGAAAACAACCAAGATCTTTCAACACATATTGTCAACCTTATTCCTCTTTCAGTATTGTCATTAATTTTTATTAGCATATATTAGTTAAACCTAATGAGATTCATTATGATGTTTTCATACATCTACATAGTGCTTTTTTGAACATATTCAACCCATTATTCTCTCACTCCTAATAATCCCCTTTCTCTACTTTCATGTCTTTTATTATCAGTTACTTTTCAATTAATACATAATAACTGTGCATATTAATGAAGTGCTGTTAGAGGTTTGGAGACATGTATATAATGTGCAATGAGGCAAGCCTAGCACTCCATGCATTTATCTTATCGTTCTAATAGGAACATTCAATAGCCTATTTTCTAGCCATTTTAAAATATGTAGCAAATTACTTGTAACTATAAACGTACTTACCCTCTTGCACTGGGCTCCCAATAAGGTGCATATAACCCTGAAAATGCTGGAACAAAGTAGCACCCATAAGAAGTACCTACTTCTTTAGCAAGTTTTTCTAGTATTAAAAAGGAGGGAAAAAAGGCAAAAAGAAATCAGTATCTTGCTTTGTTAAATAAGCATATATACTTTCAAATTTAGATCAGAATCTTTCATTTCTAGTTCATTAGTAGTAAAGTGTTGATGCGGGATTCCCCTCTGTATGCTGTGAATACCATTGGTTAACAAACTGGCTTGGCCTGATAGGGTAGAACAGAGCTAGGTTGGGAAAACTAAACTGAATGCTGGGAGAAGGAAGGTGAAGTTAGGAGAAGAGGAAGCCATGCATCCCCACCCAAGATAGACACTTGAACTTTACCCAGTAAGCTCCAGCCTCATGGCAATATAGGATTACTAGAAATAAGTTAAATTAAGATTTAAGAGTTAGTCCAAAAGAATCTAGAGCTAATTGGCCAAGCAGTGATTTAATTAATATAGTTTTTGTGTGATTATTTCTGGAGTCTGGGCGGCTGAGAAACAACAACAAAGTGTCACTAATTACAAAAAATTACAACAAAGTGTCACTAATTACAAGAGAATGCTAAATGAGAACAATAAGACTATTTCCCCTTCATTGATTGCCCCTGCCAAAAAAATGAGCTCAAGAAACTGGATTCATTTCCTTTAGGTATTTTCGTTCATTTCAATGTATATGTTTGTTTATGTGTGTACACAGTGAGGGTGTGCATGCATGTAGATGCCAGAGGTCAACCTCAGTGCTTGGAACTTGGGAGATGTCCTTCTTATTCATTAAGACAATGCTTCTCACTGGCCTAGAACATGCCACAAATGCTAGAATGTTGAGGCAGCCAGCCCTAAGAATACACCTGTCTGCAGCTACTGGCCTTGGGATTAGATATAGAATCCAGCAAGCTTGTTTTTTTTTCCCAACATAGATTCTGGGGACCAAACTCAAACCCCTGTTCTTGCGCTGCAAACACTTTACCTACTGTCCCCAGCCCCATTTCCATGATTTTGAAGTCCTTTGACTAGGAGATGAGATGGTTTTCCCTCTGGCGCCTAACCAGGAATGCATTTCTGGTTGTCTTACCTTCAGGAGGCAAAGGTAAACAGGTAGATGACTAGCTGTGTTCAAACTAATTACCCATAGACTGAATACAGCCATACTAATACTTAATTTATAAGTACCAGTGTTTCACCGTTCACTCTAACCCAGAAGTTAGTGCTCCTTCTCATCAGATAAAGGTAATTACATTGCTCTACCTGCAAAGCCAGGCACTCTTTGGTGTTCAATTTCATGCATGAATCATTTTTATGCCCCGTCTCACCACTTTATTAATATCCATCACAAATTATACCAATTCATTGTGCAATCAATCTTCATAAAATAGTCTTTTCTGGATAGATCAAATCTACATAAGGGGGTCTTACATAATTCATAGATCAGGGTAGTGGCAAAGTAAGTATTTACAGATTGCAGGGACAAAATATTAACATTTTTCATTCATTCTTTAGACGTTTTCCTTTGAAACTTAGTCTTGCTATGTGGCTGTGGCTGCTTTGTAACTTGCTATGTAGACCAGAGTGGTCCGGAACTCATAGAGATCCTATTTTACATTTTAACTTGTTACAAAACACACTCACCAATTTCCTCTGAGGATTTAATAATTCCAAGGTTGTCTCTTAGCCAGCGGATTACAGCACCAGCTATAGCTACAGAACCCTAAGAAAAAAAGGAATCCAAGATAGAATATATGCTGCCTCTAGAAAGATCATTCTGTCCTTTCTAGTATGTATGATAGTTTTAAGTGGAGAACATTCAAACAATTCCATTTTGGGGTCCCTACAAATATGAAAAACTATGATTTCTCATACAAACCATTTTACCTGGACCATGAAGAAGTGGACTCTTCCAGTGCACCCTGGAACCTATCCTAATAGGGGGCCATTCATATTTTGAGCAGTTTGATCTTTGTATAACATGATAAGCTACTGATGCATAGTGTCACCTATTAAAAAAACCTTACATCATCCACAAAACTACTGCAATGAGACACACTAAGAATGTAAGTATGTTTTATGTATCTAATCGCACAGGAAAAAAAAATCTAGTGAAGACACAACTGATTATTCTTTGAAATCAATCACATGTCACATGGATAAGGCAGTGGGTTAGATCCAGGGGATTGGGAGGGAAAAATAAGGGTAAAAATGTAATTTTAGTCAGATATGAGTTGAGGTTTTAGTACTTAATTGCTATGTGATTTCAAATAAATTATCTAGACTTACTGAGCTCCATTTTTTTAACTACAGAATGATGGTAACTATTACAATACTTATCTAAACAAACAACTATGCCTGTTACTATGAGAATACATGTCAAGGTCCTTACTAAACATAACTACTTAGCTTCATTAATCTTTGTCAGTAGCATATACGATGAATACATGTATATGAAATGGCCCAAATCAGTAAATTCATTGAGAAAAGAAGTAGATTAATAGCTGCTAAGGTCTGAATGGGGCAGGGTTGGATGGTGTGGGGTAGAGCTGCAATGGGGCTTTTCTTTAGGATTCTGCAGCACTCTGGAGCTGTGCCATTGCTTGCAGAAATGTATGACTCTATGAGAAACAACAGATTCGCACACATGATAAAGGTAGATTTGGGGCTAGAATTGTAGCTTGTTGGTATAGTAATTTGCCTAGCATACACAAGGCCCTAGTTTCCATCCCCAGAACCATAAAATAAAGAAAGAGAAAGGTAGAAAATATTACCAAATAAAAAAGAGATGTTTCGGTGCTTGGGCCATATCTCAATAAAGCAATTATAAACACGTTTTAGACCAAGGGTTTAGCCCTATGGCAGAGAGCTTGTCTAGCATGTTTAAGGTCCTGGGTTCAACCCCAAATCCTACAAAAACAGACAAACAAACATATCCTGAAGGCAGAAAATACATCAAAACAATATTTAAGGATTTGAATTGATTGCTCTGAAGTCCCAACCATAACAGTCCCATGCTGTTGAGTCATTCCATACCAAATATCAGATGACATTAAGGTAAGAACCTGTTACCAGGGCAACTAAATGAATTTCACGTCGTCCTACTGCCCATCATGTTGCACATCTATTAATTCCAGCACTTGGGGAATGGAGTGTGGATGATCAGTAGTTCAAGGCCACCCTGGGCCAGTTAGTGACTTAAGAGGTCAGCTTGAACATGAGGTCCTCCCTTACATTAAGGAAAAACGCTGGAGAAATGGTCCAGATGTTGAGTACTGGCTGTTATTTCAGAGAACCCAGGTTTTGCTTCCCAAAAACCAGATGACAGCTTAGAACCATATGAACCTAAGTCTCAGGTGACCCAATGCCCTCTTCTGGCCTCCTTGAACACTATAAAAAAGTACGCAGGCAAAATACCCATATATGTGTGTGTGTGTTAAATAATAGTATGTTAAATATAGAAATATATAAAAATATAATATAAAAATATATTTAACATACATATGCAAATATATATGCTAAATAAGCAAACAAAATAAAACCACCAACCAAATGTTCCTTCTTAATGTCTGTTGCCAAAATGCAAATGAATCAGAGAATATACTGATTTACTCCACTAAGTTCTATGAGAAGTCACTATATATCACCACAAAGAATAACACAGTTTTTCCTTATACAATAACTTTATATGCAAAATTATTAAATGGTAAAGTAAATAAAAATAAAATTAAAATTAAAGTATATTTAACTCAACACATTAATGTAAAATTTAAACTTGTCATCAATATTCAAATCACTGAGTTCTTTTTTGTACTGAGTTTAAAATCTAAACTACAATTTAAAATTATTATTATTACTATTAACATGTGTGTGTTCACACACCCTTGCTATAGTATGGGTATGGAGGCATCACTTTCTGGAGTCATAAGATGGCCACCAAGCCTGTTACGCAGAGTTCCATCCCTGTGATTCACATGGCAGGCGGTGAGAATTGACCTCCCATATGCCATGCCATGCCGTGCATCTCCTAAATTAATAAACAAATGTAATAAAAAGGAAAAAAAGAACATAGCCGGGTATGGTGGCACACAGAGGCTAACCTGGGTACCTAAGATCTTGTTGAGAAATAAAAGTGACAAGAAACAGCAAAAGCAGCTAATCAAGTAATGCGGTTTAAGCAGAAGGGAAACCAAGGTTTTGAATACAAGGTGACAACACAGAGCATTATTCCAGATAAGCAAATGCTTTCAAAAGTCCAAAGCCACAGGGCCCACAAAGTGACTCAGTAGATGAAGGCACCGACTACCAAGCCTGAGCCAACTCGCAGAATCTACACACTAGAGAGAAGGGACTTCTCAAGGTTGTCCTCTGACTCCCACGCCTGCACTGTGGCATGTGGGCTCTCAGCCACTCAATAAAGCTTTGCTTTGCAGGAGTCAAGGAATGTTTCAGTCTAACTGAAGAAATACAGTGAGTAAATGATGATAAAAGTAGCTAAAATGTGTATCGAAACAAGAGTAGAATGTTTTGTTTGTATCTTGATATAATACGCAGTATGCTTTAGACTGGAAAGAAATGAATAAAAGTGACATAAACCTCTTAAAATTGAAATGAAAAGCATGTAAGGGTATTGGAGAGATGGTTAGCGGCCAAGAGCATTCGCTGCTCTTCCAGACCCATGTTCTGTTTCCAGCACTCACATCAGCTGGCTCACAACCACCTGCAACTCCGGCCCCAAGTAATCTGAGCCCTCTTCTGGCCTCTTGGAGCACCTGCAGACACTTACACAGACAAACCCACATGAACATAAATAAATGAATTCATTAAAATGAATTTAAACAAGACACACGGTCTTCTGAATTCAGAGGCAGGAGGCAAAACAGAGTGTAGTGTTTTGAAGTTGCACAGGAAAAGGGTACAGAAGAAACCAACAGGGTCGACCCAAGTTACCATAAAATGCATCCCAAATACAAAGATGTGACTTTGCAATGCCTCACCTACAAACAGGCCCTAGGGCTGTCTCAATGCATTGGGGAAGGTGCATGTAAACATCACCAGCTGCACTCGACGGAAGACTCAATAGAAAATTGAGGAGGTATTAAAAAAAAAATCAAAGATAACAGGACAAGGTGAATGTATTATTTACATTAGGCTGGCATTGCTGGCTAGCAAGCCCGACAAAACCACCTGTTTCTGCCAAGAACAAACCACAATGTCCAATTGTTTTGCCCCTGGGTTCTGAGGCTCAAACTCCAGTCCTCATGCTTCTAAAGTAAGCACCTTTACAATTGAGCTGCCCTCCTCCCTCCAAGAACGTACATTACAAAAGTCCCTAAAATGTTAATGGCATATGTTCATATTCTTAATTGATGTAGTTTTTGTAATTCCTAATGTTCATGCTCTTTTGTGATTCCCTGGTACAATGGAACCCCTAACTCACTTCTAGTCAGAGGGGAAGGATTATGCAAAGATGCGCGTGATTATGTGATGTAGGACCACTGTTCTCCCGCTGGGACTCCCCTTACCCTTTGTTCTTTAAGGAAGCTGAGGGCCAAGTTGAGAAGGCATGGGACCATAAGTGGCCTCTCGAAGCTGAGAGTGGTCTCTAGCTCACAGCTAGGAAGAAACTGAAGCCCTTTGTAGGAGCAGGAACTAGACTCTGCCAAAAGCCTTTATCAGGCTGACAGCAGATGAAATGCCAGATAAGCCCAAAGCCTCAGTCCACACCTAACTATAGCCTTCTGAGGTACTGGATAGAATACCCAGAACTGAGCAGAAATAATTGCGCATTATTTTAAGTCACTCAACCTTGTGGTAATATTGTGATATATCAAATAACTGGCTACTACAGAGGCTTCCAGCTAAAATGGACAATCTTGCACAAGAAAGATAAAAATCTCTGAAACAATAAATATTAACATGATAATCACAATGTAGAGGTAGACAGAGAAGCTAGTAGATGAATATAAAGAAGCCTCTAGCACTTATGTGCAGAAGGAGAAAAATACGGGCTTAACATAGGATTTACTTTTGTTTTTATTCTTTTACAGGATAGAGGGATGGAGAAAAAAAGTCTGGCCTCTGAAAGTCTATGATGAGGTTCAGCAAGCACTGAGACAAGCTGTCCTCTGACCTTACACCCAGGCTATGTCATGTCCACCACAGCCATGTGCGTTCTCACACACACACACACACACACACACACACACACACACACACACACACA